AATTAACAGAGGAAATTATTTTACTAAAAGAAGAAAAGTGAACCTAAGGAAACATCATCATCATCATCCGAATAAACGTACCACTAGAATTACACTTTTTTTTTTCGCAAGACTGAAGGACATAATTTTTTTTTCTCCTCACATTCTCATCTCTGTTTTCACCTGTTCAACAAGAAAAAATATGATCATTTGAAAAATAATGAAAGTACACAACAAAAATATTTTTTCCTGAATAACAAACATTTTCAGTTCAATTCAACTGAAACATAGACAAATAAATATCGATAATTTTTTTAATTTAGATAGGAGATCAATATCGTTAACTAAAAAAAAATCAACGTCTTAATATCAGTTTGTTTACTAAATCGTCCAAAAAATGGCAGTGTTTTTGACCTTCAATTATCTTTAAAAAAACGTATTTATTCAACACTGGTTACTTTCAATGGCAAGATTATTATCTATAGAAATTTAGCGTAAATGAGGAAAGGCTTAAAGTTTTCTATTATATACAATAAGTATTATATAAAATATTGGATGTATTTGAATATAATAGACTGTTGAGAAACAGGAACAATCATTTTGTTGTTTACCGTTCCGATTTCTTATCTTGATTCCATTATCATCTTCTTCAATAAGAATATAATAGATTTTTGTCCTTCATTCTATCATTCTAAAAAATAGAAATTGTTTGTGATCTAATTGAATTTGTATGCTCTATATGCTTTATAAAACCCAAAAAAAGTAGTGTTTTTTTTTTGTCATAACAGTAAAAAGTAGACTCTTTTCTTTTTTTTTATTTCGACAAGATCTTTCTCTTCCGCTTAATAAATTATATTAAATATGCATATATCATAGACTACCTCGCATGTAATTAGAAAAAATGACGTTGACTTTTAGCTCTAAAGCAGGTCGAACGTGCTAAACCTCGCAAATGTGTGAGTGTGAGTGAGTGTATGCACTTTTGAATGCATGCGTCTCCTTCTCTCTCGCTTTCTCTCCCTCTCTCGCTGAGAATAAAAATTGCCAATTAACTTCAAGTATTCATCTACTTTTGACATTCATTTGTGTCATTAGTATTACCTTCCAGTATCACTTGAAAATAAGATAGAGAGCATTTGCTATCAAGACGATTGCTGTCTTTACTCTGTTATCATTGAGAAAACGAATATTTGATGTCCATAGTGTGATTACATGTGGTGTCAAGAGAATTCGACAAATGTGATAGGCCACCATCTGCGACAATCGTGACGACAGTGAATGCACATATCTCAGCTGGATGGATGGATGGATGGATGAATAAAGAAGCAAAAATTCAAATTAGAATTTACATTAAAAATTGTACAATATGTCTGATTAGTACATTCTATATTATCCCAATACTACTCACAGTGGATATTCTATTTAGCTCTTTTGCTAAATAGTTTTCTCTGATTTTCATAATCAAAACACTAGTTTGTAATTAATAAGAACATAATTAAAAATTGTACATTTTGAATGTTTCTGTTTTTAAATCGTTGTCGATGCTCCTTAGTCTTACTAAACATTGTATTCAAATCCATAGATTAAAAAAGAAAACTGTCTATTATTCTCTCTATTTGTACTAGAACGAGAAAAACTTGTGATCTTGAAAACCACTAGTTAACTGAAAAATGAGAATCTTATCTAACTCATTTTCTTTCATTATGACTTAATTGAAGATTATCTTACCGAATTCAATATCATCATTATCAGCTAATCAATAGACGATTTGAAGTCTGAGAGTACTGATAATAACTTTGTTGCAAACTGAAAAATGATAAGTTGTTCAAGGTAAAAATATAAAATGTTATGATATTGGTATCTGTGCATAAGCAAACAACAGTGAATTTATCTTCAATACTGTAAAAATAGTTACATCAAGATAAACTAATCGATTTCATTCAGTTAAACTTCTGCTATTCAACAAAAAATGAAATATCTTAATCACTTCACATATCAACAAGTATATTGAATACAATTATAAACGATACTATCGATAGATGTCTCTGGAATCTGGCATCAGCTCTCTCACTATCGCTTATAAAAGAGAAATCTCGTGTTCCATAACAGAAGATTCTATAGCATAAAAAACTAAATAGAAAGGCGTAGTCACCTGTTCGGATATAAGCCAATGTAGTTAAGTTAGAAATTTAATTTGAAAAGGACACAGAAGTAGAAAGAAACAAGAGTCTTATGATAATTCACATGAATGTATACAAATTCAATAGAATTTTGAAATAAGACGGATTTCAGTGTAAAAAACACTTTCTACACTAATAGTAAATGGAAAAAAGTTATCGCAATAAAAAACCATCCTTTGAAAGTTGGCTTGCCGAATCAATCATGTGAATATAAAGATGCAAGGAATATTGTGAATCAATTCGAACTAAAAGACATCAGAAAATACGCTTAAAGAGTTTTTGTTTTTCACTTGACTGAAAGGAAAGGATCTAGACGCTTAATAGAAATAGCTAGTACACATTTTGACAGCATCTATTGCAATTTGTTACCATATAAGGGAGTTGCAATAAACGTGTTCAAGTCTAATTGTATCTATCTGTATAAATTCGAGCAAAATGTCATCACTATGCATATAGACGTGAATGAATGTGTATTATGAGACACACAGCAATCTTTTATACTTTGTGGATTAAATAAAACAAGAGCCTTGCACTTTAAAAATCGGTTTCAGACTCTTCCAAGCGTGTCCCTATCTTCTTCACATGAACATCCATAGGTTCTTCGTCTTCTGTTGATATCATTGATTCACAAGAGACTATTATACAGATAGCAATAATAATACTTCAAGAACTGAGTCAACGACATGATCATCAGTGGAGCGTTCCGTTCACAAGAAAATTTCTTTCGTTATTTAAAAATATTTAGATTCCTTTAAGAAATTCCTGGACACATCACTGCCTTGAATGTAGCGAAATAAACAAAACTAGTTTTACAATTCAACAAAATAAATTTCATCTTCTGACGACCTTCGTACTGGAAACAAGAAAATGGTCTTTCTAAGAGAAATAGCGAGAGTGCACACTCTTATACACTCTGTTTGCTACATCTTTAACTTACGACCGACTGAACGACTACAATTTATATCTGAAGAGAGTTCAACTCGATCCTGGAGAAAGTATGTCATATTGGGATTCTCCTTCTATTATAAAATCAGAAAAAAAATCAGTCGCTCTATATAATAACTATAGGATGATACGAAAACATACTTTTTGAAAGAGTTCATAACAAGACTGATTAGCAGAAGAGTAAGTGAATCGAAGACGAACGTTGCATTTACAATAGAAATGAAGTATTTAACATTTAATAGAAACAAAATATAGCATTACGAAACTATTTTGAAATCTTTCATAGTCTTGCTTCTGTATCATTATAGTTGGATGTATGAGTTCTAGAAAAAAAATGGATGTTTTCCAAGTGCATATGGCACAGCAGTTGAACAGCAACCGACATCATCTATTCATATAATCTCTTTCACACTTTAGCACAAAAAAATGAATGGTTCATGGATCAGTACTGTTAAAATAATATTTTAGATGTAGAACTAGGAAAAATTAAAAAGCTTATAACACCCGGTATTCCAGGCGGTCACCCCTCTTAGTGCCCGTCTTAACTTCAGTGATGAGACGAGAACTAGTGTATTCAACAAGATATGGTCTCTTCATAAAATCTTCAAATAAAAAACAAATGGTGATCCATGACAAATTGACCTTGTCTAATGATTGGCCTTTACAAATAGATCTTTGCGTATTTTGAGTTTAACACAACGCTGAGTACGAAGAGTCTGGACTGCACGTTAGTAATATCTTGTTTCACAGCAGCTGATGAAACTTTATTGAGCTGGAAAACTTTTAAGAAAATGTTTTTAACATATTTTTATTGCGACGTGTACACATACATTCTGTTTCACTGACGACAATGCACCTATAAACTATGGTCTTTTTTTTTGCAAAGTATACCCATTTTGGGAAAAGTACGCAGCAGCCGATCAATGAGAATTTAGAAGATCTATTCAAAAACAGACTATTCTCATATTATTTTAAAGGATCACGAATAAGGAGCGTTTAGTAAATATTTAAATGAAACGTACTATCACATCTCATTTTGTAGAGAAATTTTTGCTCTATCAAACTCAGTGGTTAAAAAGATGCTAGGGGATTATATGACGTTTTGAAAAAAAACCACAGAACCCCTGCAAGCTGCCTATTTCCCATAGCTGTTTAAGCGTCCACAGAGATATTTTATTTATTCTTCTGTTATTCTTCAATCAACTATGAGACATAGTTCACTTCCCCGTTATAGTTGATCGAATCAATCGAAAGAAGGTAGTAAGACTTCAGAAAGGTCGCTTCTGTCTAATCACTCTCTAAAACAGAAGATATGGTATGACTTATATATATTTCTTGAGTTCGGATTGGTGAAAAGCTTTGTTAAAAGTAATGTTTAAATTCAGGTTTTTAACTGTGCAATGTACACTATTTTTGTTTCGTAACATTTTTCAAGAGGATATTATACATTTTGTTTACACGAATAAACCTCAATATTAAAAATTTGTTGAACGGATGGAATGTACGTTTACCATGTTTCAAAACACTTCTAGCATCTTCTGTACTTTTCTCTTTCAATCACATCATCTATAGGGCAAAAACGATAATACTACCGGTGGGTTGAATCAATCTCTAGAATCAACATATTAATCCAGCAGACGCGTTCACTGTAGCTTATTTGACAGAAGAATGCTCTCTACCATTCATAGAGGTATACCACGTCGTATGAAAAAAATCGTGCAGAAAATGGAGAGCAAAATGTACTAGTTTAAGCTTTAATCTTGAACCAGCAAGGAATCGAGAAATATATAAATTCTCATTATATTATTCTGAAAACTAAACTATCAAAACACAAAATAAATCCTTGCACGGAGCGAGGATCGACTGTATCTGCGAAAAACTATTAATAATAGTCCTTCAAACTATTCTAAGCGTCTGCCTAATTATTGTTATTATTAGTGTATAAGATAGAATTTTTTCTAATAATCCTAGTCCAATCAATGTTCCATGTATACTATAATCAATTTTCGTAATATACGTTGCTTGACCAACTTGTTGTTCAATTTGAAGATGTTGAAATGTTGTGTTCTTCAACATTATACCTAATATTGAAACAAATATCATTACCGTCGATGTTAGACTTGCCAGAATGTGAACTAATGAGACGATAAGAAAAAAATGATGATGACGATTAAACAACGTTAAAAATGTAAATATTCCAGCAATAAATATTGTCGCACCAGTCCAAACAGCATGACCCGTTTGATACAGCGTCAATTGAAATACAATAATTAGAATACCGATGATAAGCGAAGTGAAACCGATTAATAGTTCGCTAGTTGCAATCATTCTTGAAAAACATGTATTCCAATTTTCTTTTAAATGAGCATTTATTAATGTTTCAGTTTTATACAATGAACTATAGGAATAATTTGACAGGAGAGATTGTTCATCAGATATTGTTATACTTTGCTGTTTCATTAGAATAGAAGATAGTGGTATTGAAATAATCGTACGAGCAGACGGTGGCTGACTCATGAATTGTTTTATACCAATATCAATAAGCAGAATGTTTTCATCTCAATGCCATGTTCATAGTTAACATCTGTTCTTTATTTTGATTTAATCATTTGTTTAATATATAGTTCAATCCAAGTAAAAACAGGTAGAGAAGATTATATTTAGTTTGTTTTCTCTTACATTGTTATACTCCTTCCATTATTTTTCTTTTTATCTTTGTTGTAAAAACAGCATATTACAATTACGTGTCTTTTATCATTGTAAAACGACAAAAGATGAAGAAACTGAGACGAACTGTATATACAGAATTTTGAACATTTTATAATGGGAAGCAACGTTTGTATTCTTTTTCTCATCTCTTTGTTTCAATTATGTTTTTATTATATCTAATAGTTTGAATAATAGAAAGATACAGAAACTGCTTAATGGAATACGTGTAAAATTAACCTCAAATGGCCTTTGTTAACTGATATGCACAAAAACCACAGAAAAGGAGCCAAAGTGGAAAGTTAGCATCAGAGAAAGAAGAACTACAGTTATCACACACTGACTATAACCGTATTTTGTGATCTGAAAATTGTTTCATGATACACAGAACAAAATGATTTTTAAAATATCTCAGATAGCTTTTTCTCTCTTTTTTCCTTGTTGGTATCTGATTGAGCTCAAATTTTTACCGCAGATGCTTTAGACTTTATATTCTAATTTTTTTTTTTCCAAAAATACGTTTTCTTTCTCGAAATATTCCAAAAATTTTTAGTACCAGTTCTTTTCAAAAGAACGCGAACTGGTTACCAGTTCTTTTCACAAATTAAAATTGAAATAAAACCGGTGAGCCTAGTTACATTGACTTTGTGTAGTGCGCCAGAGGTAGATAGTATGTTTAGTTGACTAAACCAAGTCAACATAGCTAGCTACATCAGTTTTATTTTATGTGGAATTCTTGAAAAGAGCTGGTAACCAGCTCCGATTCAATAGGAACTGAACTAGTGACCAGTTCTTCTACCAGTTCAAACTATAGGAACTGGAACTGTCCCACCCCTATTCATCCATAAAAACAATGAAAAATAAGTTACCATTTAGACTAATTCATATTGTCACGCGAAGATTATATCATATAGCTGCAGTTTCTATCGCCTATTATTTCTGGATAGGAACTTAGAAAAAATAAAATAAACTGAATACAAATTCATGATACAATTTCTTCTTTATTCTCAGTCTACCTGAAAACTTTATTTGACTGTCGATCTCAAGAAAAATGAGCACATTCATTACCATCTCGTAGTATTGGTATCAAAATAAAGTCGTAACAGCATCGAATCTCTAGTTAAACTTCTGCATTTATTACTTGAATTTTAATCTATTGAACTAACACAGGAAATATGACCACATACATAGAACAAAGTAAAGTGGTATGAAGTACTATTTATAGTTAAATAATTAAAATTGAACTGTACATAATAACTTCTGCTGTCGATCGTTCTGTAATCTCGATCAATAGTCAACGAAAAAATGATTATTAAAATCAAGGCTATTCAGCTTAACAGAAAAGAAAAATAGGATTCCTTGGTTATACGGCCATTTATTGTGTTGATATTCTTCTTTTTTCTCCTTTTCAAAATGTGTTTTTTCTTTTGCATCATCCTTTCAGAATAGAGATTCAAACTGTAAACATTGACGAACAAAAATTAGTTCGTCAATGTTTACAAAAGACCGCCAAAAATAAACATAATGTCATTAGCCAAAGATGTTTGTTAATGTTTTGAATATTCAAAAGCAAGAATAAACTAGATGCTAACTGCGCTTCGCGAAGATTGAGAAACCGACTGAGTGAAACGCGAATGGGACCAGCTAGTTTTTAGCTACGGTAGTATAGTGAATGTAACGCGTAGTAAACTGCTATATATGTTTTCAGCCATATTTATCTTCCACAGCATATTATTCACATTATCCTATCAGCTGATTCATTATCCTATCATAAATTCTGCTATAGCTTTCATCATATCAAGCACTATAATATATATTCACTACGCAGGATATAAAAACGTCAAATAATTATTTCAAAAATATATGACTAAAATCTACATAAAATTCTGTATCTTTCAGCATTGATACGAAATTTTCTGATCAACTTTAATCTGAGAAAAAAGCCTTGCAAAGATCGGCAGTTTAACCTGAACCATCCGTTATTGTGCTGTAATGCCGACTCTGACACCCATTTTTAAAAGATGACCAGATATCTCTCCGTTCATGAATGGAGGAAAGAATGCGAAACAATCAGTCAAAGTTCTGTGATTTAACTATAAACCTACAGTTCTTCTGTTCCTTCTGGATAGATGTTGAGAAGTTCCAACAAAAGTTGATTTGAGATACAACAAAACACGTTATTGAGGAAAGAGATTCAAAGTTTGATGAAACTGGTGTATATGAAGCTAATTTATCAGGTATTTCTAAAATATTTACACGTAAGACGACCCTTTGTACTTTTCGGTTCTACTGTCATGCGTATCAATCAAAAACTCGGGTTAAACACTATTATCATTGATAACAAAAATGCACGCACACGTTAATTTTATTAAAATAGCATGTGAACGAGCGTTTATTAATGCGGTGCGAAGCAAACCGCATTGTAGTAATCATTGGCGTGTTTGTCTTCTACACCTGAAAATGTGTCATTTTGGTAATGATTTTCTCAATAATTAAAGGCACTGATTCAAAAGTTAAAAAATAAGTACAATACCCTGAGCCTGAATGTGGGAATGCCCTCTTTTAGGACTTCCTGGACATTCCATCTCTTTACTAGAGCGTCTGAAATTAGGTCGATTGAAAGTTTAGAACTTAGAAATTTTTCAAAAATTTAATCTTAGTATACATGCGCCATGTTCATTGTAGTTGCAGAGTTGTTTTCACAGTTGATTGAAATGCAGTGTACTTCATTTAATTATCTATGCATATGTGATTGATCCTATAAATGAGTCATTAGTATAGTACAACCTTTATATGCACTACTGTATTGCAAATATGTAGTAAGACTTGTGATGCAAATGTTTTGCTTCGCACCATATTAGCAAGTCTCGTGATTGACCTGTAGTTTCCCTAGATCGAAAAGATGTTATTTTCTGTAACGATTTTCTCGAGAACTATAACTGCTGTCTGAAAAGATGAAAAACGAGTATATTGTCCTCTGGCTGAATATGGTAATGACTGTTTGTGAGACTTTTGTGAGACTATGACGTTTCGTCATTTTGCTATAGTTTCCAAGGTAGATCGTTTGAAATCTGGGGCTTAGAAATTTTTCAGCAAAACCGATAATTAATCGATATACATCGATATACATTGCTACCTTTGGAATAATGAATAGAGTGATAGTTAAAAGCGATTTCTATGTAACTGTAGAGGTTGATTCGTAGTTCAGTCAGAGGACAAAACTGATTTACTACAAAGTTACGTCATAAATACTTGTGATGCAAATGTTTTGCTTCGCATCGCATTCACAAGTCTCGCACAGCGTAATTGTCGTCTAGTTCTACAAGTATGCATGTATATATCCTCCTGACCAAAATAAGTCAAACACACTTTTTTTAAAATTAATCCTCCATACAATGGAAGTTAACTTCTATTGTATGGAGGATTAATTTTAAAAAAAGTGTGTTTGACTTATTTTGGCCAGGGGGATAGATATATATTTATCTCACGGCCTTCACTATTTTTAAACGTATTCTATTTAATTCCATATCTGCTAGACTTTTTAAGCTGAAGAGATAACGCTATTGAAGACAAAATAGCATTTATATTACATTTTTTTTTATGTCAAAGATTTTTGTTCATAAGTATTAGACCATCACCAGTGCTTTGCGAATGCTTCGAGGAGCAACAATTAATCACGAAGCTCATAGATCCAAAAGCCATTTTTTGTTGTTTTTCTGTTGATTTTTGCTGGTTTTTACAGATTGACATCTATTGTACGATGAATGCAGCTTAACTCATAAGACTGTTGTGCAAAGCTCAAAAGTGTCTTATTTTGTGTAGAAAAGTTTGTTCTATACGACGGAGTTGTATTCAAAAAGTTTCCCATTAAACTCAAAGATCTGGTTTCCACATCAGCAAATTTGAATGCAACTAGCATATAAATCGCTCCTGATTGAAAACTGTTTTAGCCATTGAAATCACAGTTGTTCTGGCTATTATGATTGAGCAAAAAACATTAAAAAGAAATCATTTCTATAATATTGCATCGAACTATATATACCCGCACAGATAACTCAAGGCGAGAATATGTCAAAAAAACAGGTGAACATTTTTTTGGTTTTGTACACTCGTGACAAATTTAAATAACGAAAAAAAAACAGTCTTAACCTACTACTATTTTCTGTATTGCCGTAGTAGTACACATAAAACTGTATCTTAAATTTTCTATTTTGGTATTCTTTGAGTGTATATGTTCGTAAGTAAAAGAAACAAAATAAGTACCAAGTCGTAAAGTTGATCAGGGAAACTATACACAAAACACGGGGATATCATAATACAATGTTCGTACCAGATCGGTGATAAGTCAAAAGTCTCTAAGATAGGGCAGACTACTATCAGTAGTCAGCTTTAAACAATTGTCTTAAAACATATCACCTGAAAAATAGCAATAACACGCAAAAAAACTAATCCTGACAGTGAAATAGATTTAAAAGTGCTACTATTACATATTACAAATAAAACACAACACATTTTTGTTTCTCTAGTTTATTTATTTCCTATATAACGTCAAACATGCTGTGAAAGCGGTAAAAAAACAATAAAGCAAACAAACAATACACAATAAATCATACAATGCAAACACTACGTGATACATATAGCGTACAAGCAATTAAATTATGACTAGTGCAATAACAGTCCGAAAAGCAGGCACTTACTGCATTTAAAATAAAGTAGATAGTATGTCAGACGATATTTTACTTTAGAGAAATTCTTACGGACTTGAGCTACAGGTTAAAAATTTAAAATAAAGAATGGACAGATGTTGATATAGAAAGCATACACATCAAAATCTACCGGTTTATTCTGACACACTTGTGATATCATAAAGAAACAAATAAACATGCAGTTAACATACAGTATTGAAAACTACAGACAAAAATCAGCAGTGCAGTACGATTTGATATATCCATATCTAATGATAAAAATACAACAGTTCTAAAACAAATTGATATTGATGACACTTTAGTACATGATCCTTCAGATGAAGGATCAAACTCACTCGTATGAATAAAATACCACTTGAAATAGAAATGCAGTAATACAGAAGAGCATAAAACTATTACTGAAGAAAAAATTATTGTATTCAGTGGAATGAACAAACATCTTGCTCTTCGTGAATTTATCGCAAAAGGTTTGAGAATAAGTATAATTTATCATTTATTTTGTTTAAAGTACAGTTGCCATTAAGAATGCAAAACACTCTAGTTTTACCCAACGACGGCAGATTTTAATATACGTACAAGTTAGAAATAGTTAAAGTTTTTTTTCACTACTCTTTTAACTTAAGTAGAAAAAAAGTACTAGAGGCAGAACAAATTGGTTCTAACATTTTCTCTACAAAAATAAGTAGAAATCTTTCACGTTATCTTCCAACAAATAGAATCCAGATTCATCTCGGTCGTCAATAGGAACAGAAATCCCATGCAAGATCGAAAAAAATCTCTTGCCAATGTGTATATTTTAACAAACAAAAAAAAATCAACAAACAAGAAACGTAACAAGAAAAATAAAAATAGAGAGATTTACGGCACCAGGTTAAGAGTAAATTTTCCTAAATAAAACAATGATAAAAACGTATCTATCATCTATCACTCTTCATACATTGGTCGCTGATGTGGTCCACCACCTTCATTATGTAGATCAAATTGTATTTTCATTTGTGGATGTAACTGTATCATTTTTTTCCATCGCCTACCAATTTCTCTTACAATCATTTCATTACGAGCTTCCGATGTCCATAAAGCTACTTTATGCCCACGTTGACGAATATTAACAACAGCACCGGTTATAAACGACGATAATGGTGTGGGATCGGAATTAAATGAAAACAAATCACCAATTAAACTCAATAATGTTTCAGTCCATATTTCGTCTAATTTCATCTCATCACGACCCAATGATAATAGCCAACGACCACCGGATGAATTTCTTTTATCTTCCCACATAGGACGAATACCTTTAACAAAGAAGTGCAGCAACATGAGATAAATAGGACGTCAATTATGTTAAAACAAGAAAATGTGCAGTTGAACAACATCATAGATTAAGAGAATTACAAATGCTAAAATCATCCGTGATATTGCAATCCATGATATCAAGAACCAGCGGATCATTTCATCTATATTCTTAAGTAGCGCCTAAAGTTGAGTCTCGACCTGATTTTAGTTACGACTTGACGTGATCTGCAAGCTATTGGAAAACGTCATATTCAATGACAAAACCGACTTAGATCACTATAATTTGAAACCTATACAATTTTTTACGATAAATAAGTATTATTCATCGTCACATGTTATCATATAAGTCAGGATGTTTACTTTTCGTCAGCCTGAACGTGCTCATTGGTTTATGTATTAATATGCTTAAAAATGGAAGCTAGAATCAGATACTGCAACTGATGTAGAGCTTGACCAACAATGAAAGCTTCTATAACAAAATGTGCTCGGACTTAAAAATTCACTACTAAATTCTATTTCATTTTTCAATTTTATCTTCATACTACAAAAATTTCATCTCCTGCAAATTCAATGAAATTACTTTTTTCGATTAAAACTGTAAGTTCCAGTAGAGCTTTATATGTACTTTCTGATTGAACTCATTTTTGGCCTAATATCTGTTTTTTACAAAAATACTAACAAAAAGTAGGAATGCCACTTTCAATCAACATGTTGAGCCATATTTATGGATTCAAGGCAAAATGAGGCTTCACTTTAGAGAAGAAATAAGCATTTATTCACAAACTATTAGCGCAAGACATACGAACCTGTTTTAAAAAAATAATAATCACAGTTTGATTTATCTCTGGCTAGCTTCGATGGTATTTGTAAATGATTATAGGTTGCCCAAAAATCTTCAACATGTTTAACATCCATGATTCGTATTAAAGAATCTTCCCAACTTGAACGTTTATCGGGTTTAATATACCAGAATGACCACGGATATTCTAGTGGTGATTTTGGATTTATTTCATGTTCTTTTTCTTCTTTTTGACTGTTATTGGTGGATGTCATTATTGTGGAATTGTTAATTGATGGTTGGGGTTGTAGCTGCGTTTCGAGCATTATTCTGTTTTCGAAGATTTTTCTTGAAATGACAATGAAACAAAAAAACAAAGTAGTGATTAGAGAAAGAAACAGAACGGTGAGATTCGGGAACAAACTATTTGATCGCGATTTAGAATAGGAGTTTGTCTTTTCTGTCTTACAAATATTATCCTTAAATTTCACTATTCCAGAAGACTGGACTCAGATATTTCAAGCATTCTCTCCCAAACGTTCTGTTGATATGCATGGCAGCGACCTTAATGATTAGTGGATCAAATGAGAAAAAATTATTTTCCTCTTTCAACGTTTGATCTTTTATCCTGTTTTTACTAAGAAAAACGATAAAAAACTATTTTGGTTAAAATTCTTGTGACTAATGTTTGTGCGCCAACAATAACAAATCGGTAAGTCGAACTACATTTAATGTTTCTTTAATGCATCAAATCAAGCACTAAATCGTCATCAAGTCTAGCTGCTCAAGGTATCAAAATGACTCAACTATTTTATTTTACTATTTGTTGTTACAGTACACATACACAGTTTATGATTTTTTATAATGTTGTGGATAACAACTGTTCTCTTTAATACGATGGTATTCTCATTTCTTTAGAGATTAATCTAAAATATACAAAAGCAAAATGTTTATGAACACGTAAGCCATACGATGGATGACTAATAGAAATCGTAAATACACCGATTAAATAACAGAAAAAGGCTTTTATATCCGTAATAGTCAGACTAATAGCATTTGAGCTCTATAAGAGCGAAAATTTAGCTCGACACCTAATACTCAACAAAGAGGATAGCGCCAACCATCATCGTTGTTCTAGCAACTTAAAAAGAGAAAAAATAGTACGTAAAGCATTCGAGCAGTATTTACGACTGAATCGCTCTATACAAACAAATCTCTAGAAAATAGCCATTGTTTATAACAGGAAGATTCGTACGAGTTCGATATCAATTTTATCACTGCGAATATACAACACCTAATCACTACATAAGACATTATATTAACGAATAAGCAATGCACGAATAAAATGGTCAATCTGGGTACTTAAAATTTTCTCTCAGCAACTTTTTCTCTTTTGATCTCCAATTTTTCATTAGTTAATATAAAGAATACAGAATGAAAATAATTCATCTACTATCGTTAGAAGAAAGCAGTTTGAGGAGTTTACTAGACGTCTTCAAACAAAAAGACACAATATTTTCTCATTAAAAGCTCAAAATTTTGATGTAATTACTTTTTCAAACGACTACCGTCTTATCCTCACACTTATGCAATATTACTTTTAGATGAATATTTTACCTAAAATGAAATTTATTAGGTGAATATTTTAACTTGAATGCCGATTTTAATTAGAAAATGTTTAGTGATTTTCTTTTTTTCTGGAATTGACTGGTTTTCGTGATAAATACATTCTAAAGTTCACCGTAGCGCCATCATTTACGTACAGCAAATTTATCCCGAAAACTAACCATTTTCCAAAGGAAAAAGAAAATCATCAAATATTTTCTAATTAAAATCTTCATTAAAGCTAAAATATTCACCCAATAAATTTCATTTAAGATAAACTGAAGAGTCTTAGTGCGACACTCATTCCAATACAGAAACGATGAGTCATCGTATAGCAGTGCTCATACCAAACAAAAAGGTTAACTTTTGATACCTTGAGCAGCTAGACATGATGATGATTTAGTGCTGTTGATTCGGTGCGTTAAAGAAACATTAAATGCATGTCTATTGTTTCATTGTAAATCCCTATTCCGTATTAGTAGATCAGTGTTTTTAATGATTAGTGGATCTCGCTTGAACAAAACAGGTTTCCACTTTGAAAATTCCCGATTTTCACTTTGTTTTTAACAGGGAAAACACGGAAAATGCAGTGGTAAACTGTGGAAACCCACTTTGCTTAAAATTCCTATTAAAAATACTATAGCAGATGATCGACTGACATGCGTTATCAAGTCGATAATTTTTCTTTTGTTCATAAAGTCCACTCACATTCATGTGCTGAAAAACGTATGTTAACGAAAATTTATAGGAAAACGCTCAAACTAAATTTCACTATAAATCTGACTGCGTTATATAATAAAAAATTTTTTTCATTTAACGTAATTACAACTTCTAGTTGAAATGTATTTCGATGACTGGCGAAAACCTATTTCTATAAATGCTGTAGATATGATCGTTCTCTTTTGAAGTCTCAGAGATGTTCAGACTGTTTATCGTTAATTCGAAAAATAGGTTGGATTCTAAATGACTTTGCATTTTTTTGAAAGAAATAATCGTTCTAATGTATCGAATCTCCTTGCGAGGTTCGCGAGCAATAAATATAATTATAAGTTTGTATTGTCCATATCTCTTGATGATAGAAGTAGCAGCATTTGAGTTCCCAACAGTTCAATTTCGGTTTATTTTAGTATTTTCTATCAACAAATAACCTGTAGTGGAAACAAGTTATCCAAACAAAGACTATAGGTTGTATTTTAATAAAGGTGCATAAAAATGACTTTGAAACAATCTGCAAGTTGGAGAAAGTTTTATTGAGCAACTCCATAAAATTTTCTGAGCATGTTTTTTCTCAAAAAATTTAGCGGATAACCAAAAAGAAACGTCAACGTTTCTGAGTGAGCAAATTCTTTTATGCAAATTCTTTTATCTTTAAGTAAATTTTTTTCTCAAGTGAGTAATTCATTTCAAACAAGGTGGGGAAAAAAATCGAAAACGCTGCAACTTGCAATAGAATTTATTCTAAGGTAAATATACTTATGCAGAATGAACAGAACCCAATCTGTGTAGCTCATACACGGCATCTCGAATTAAAAATCACAAAAAAATTTATATAATTCTTTGTCTTCAATGGAGACCTATACTCGCAACTACAAGTCAGTACGATGTTGAGAAAATGGCAAAGGATTTCTTCACAAACTCGTTTCAAAGTTTTCTCTGTCTAAACGTTCTACGATAGTTCTATCAAGGAATGTGGATAGAACAAACTTGTACACTATTTATATAACCCGTTAATTAGTCTGTTGTTTCTCGCCTCTTCGATTTGTTTGTTAATGTTATTAATGTAGCTTTTCGATGATTGTACGTTCCTTATATCTAATGTTACAATACCATTGTTTGAGATAATATTCATTGAACTCATATGTGACGGGGGTAATGGAAAATACATGACGAATCTTACATTAGTCTGAACAGTCTTTCTGGTACTGATTTGCCATTTTAGATCTTTTTTTTTGTAAAACTCATTGCCATAGTATTTGAACTGTTTCACACGTGTTCGGTACGCGTTTGTAACATCTAGTTTTTGGTTTGTTTCACTCTTAGCATTCATGTCTCTTAATCGAATGAATGATGATTAAAGTTGTGCTCATCGTATACAATTACTGCCTATCGTATGAGGGATGTATAGGTTCTAATAAAATATAAGTATATCTCTTAGTAGTTTCCGGATCAGTATAATTTCTATTCACGTTTAACACACGAAATGTACTCCAAGGAGGCCACAATACTTCGGCTTCCTCTCTATATTCAGATATGTCAGAAATATCGATTTGATGATATTGTCCTGTGATTCGAATTTCCATTAATACTGGTATTTTTGCATCTTTCTTAGGAATAGTAAACCCAAGTGCAGTCGTTTTAGATTTGCTTGTGGAAGTAAATTGTGGAAACGCAAATTCCGCTAATGGCTGATAAACGTCTAATTCACGTTCATTCTTTAAAGTTAATCCTCTATAACACGATGTTCCAAATAGATCGAAGTTATCTTGAATCCTAAACATGTAATCTCGGACTTCCTTCCAGTACGACAATACATCGGCATCATTATCTTTGTGTAGTTGCCACTCATTTAAAGTGTTATTAATCGTTTCGTAAAAAGGCGATTCGATCGTATAAGCTTGAATCAATGCCACTGGATAATTGAAACCGTCAGCTTCATTAATAAGATCCTGTATTTTTGCATATTGTGATGAATTAGTTAAACTTTTGGAAGCTAGTTTTCGAATATGTCCATACGGATCGCTGTGAACAGATTCTGGACAATTTTGCAATGGATGTCCTGGATGTGCCAGATGAATTGGTTTACGTGTATATGTTGACTGGAAAGAATATGAAGCAAATGGGTTAGACGTATAATATTCAGAATTTCGAGGACGACGTAATAGTTCGAGTAATGCTGAATTATTCATTGTATATGCAATGTCATATGGAGTACGATTCAATTTATCACGAACATTCAAATGGACACCTTTTTGTAGGAGAAATTCGACAAAATAGAAATTTTCTTTTTCAACAGCTTTATGAAGGGCCGTACTTCCATCACATTCTTTTTGATTATAATAATCGTAAGTGTATGTATCATTGCAAATAATTTCATATAATGCATCAACATCATTTTTTTCAGCAGCATTGTACAACTCGCTATACCTCTTGTCTTCGTTACTCATGATTATTGTATTCCTAGAAAACAAAAACAACTAAAAATCAACTCTGAAATTCTAATTAATGTATAGTTGCCGCCGTCAGCACTCGCTCATTGCTACAGTACTATCACCTAACTAAGCTGACTATTAACTAACAGAATCTCGACACCAAATAAAAAATGAATACGACGCCGAATATAAGAAATAGTACAGAGTATAGGTTCGATTAATAATTCGCTCAATCGTCGAGTCGTACTAAGTTTCCATCTAACATATGCTGTACTTTAGAAATTGATTCCTCTACCTTTTAATATCCATGTATTTGAATTATTTATTGTGGTATGCGAGTCTTTATAAATCTACATGGTGCTATAAAACAACGGGTACAGTCTACTTCATGGACATTTTCAATGACGTAATTTGGACTTTTTCATTCAAAGGTCATGTTTTTTTCCACTTACCCGTCTGCCTTTTGTGACTCCATGACTGTGTTTACGATTCTCTTCATATATATTTTCTTTTCATTACATTTTTTTTTTCTCGTTTCTTTCAGACTATTATTAAAAAATTCTTTTACTATAAAAGTAGAGAATCATCGATAATAATTCACACACTTGAGTTTTTTCTTGCAACATTATACTGATATGAGAAAATAGATAGATTAAGTAAATTTTACACTCGATAACAGAATGAAAAACTAAAAATTCAGAGAATAAAACCACTTTAAGTTCAAATTTCGTCAATTTTGAGACGCTCATCACGGAAAATGAAATTTCTAATGGCGTGCAAACGGTAGGGCAATTAAGAGCGGGTATACATAAGGATCGACCGACCCATGAAGCAAGTGAAATTTTGTTTTATGAAAATTTGTGCAAAATTTTTTATAAATCTTTTTGTGTATTCAGTGGTTCCAGGCTTGCATATGCCCTTTTAATCAGCCGATCTAATTCCAGTGTGTAAAATAAACATAAATAATACTCTGTAACAAATAGTTAAATGTTTCTGAGGGACTTTCTAGAGATCTTTCGAAGTTTTCCATGAAAAACACAACGATGATACATACATATATAGTATTTAATGATTTCACTTGTGTCAAATATATTGGTTAAATTAACGAGAGATAATTGCTGACTGCTTACTTGTAAATTCTCATGCAGCATTTTGTTGTATAGTAAAATTTTATATAATATGTATCTTTACTGTCTGTACATGCACATTTATACAATTTCAAACTATAGGCCCAGATATATACTTTTTTACTCTTCATTATGATCTATCAATGTTTGACTGTCATTCTATAAAATGTCTGAAGAACCAACCCCCACACGTACTAGAAACCTGTGGATCTTTATCCAGAAGTAAACATTTCATCATTGTACAATCCGACTCCTTTCCATGCTTGCGTTTTGAAAATAATTCGTTCTCTTCAATACTTTAAAAAATAAACAGTTGACTGTTCTCTTGTCAACGCCGTTCTTACATTTCTTACACAACTTGAGCCGACTGGTGTTGACTCTTATATCGCCAATATTGGTCGGTTGTTTAATCAATCTAGCAAGCTTCTGAACATACATGGGTGTTCCATTCTGAATCATTGTTGTGTTTTTCATGGAAAACTTCGAAAGATCTCTAGAAAATCCCTCAGAAACATTTAACTATTTGTTACAGAGTATTATTTATGTTCAGTTTACACATCTGGATTAAATCGGCTGATTAAAAGGGTATATGCAAGCCTGCAACCACTAAATGTACAAAAAGATTTATAGAAAATTTTGCACAAATTTTCATAAAACCTATGAGTTTGCGGTCTAGCCCAGAAAAACCAAGTTAACCATTTGAGACAGCACCATTTTCTGTATCAATTTTATTAATTATTCCTTACTGCTGGAATAATCTGACATCAGTGTCTGACTTACTAACTAATTTTTCATCAGCTTTTCAAAAACGTCTCCTTTTCTCACTCAGATTCAATGATTTTTAAAAATCTGAGTACATGGTTTTTGTAGTACATCGTCTGAGCTAGAATTATATCTATATCGGATTTACGATTGGTATTCAACATCTACAAAATCTATCGATATTTAGTTATTAATGGATGCTCTCTATGTTTCAGTAGCGGCTCATTTGGCTCAAAAATTTTACTTATTTTGTTTTTTACAACATGTAAGTAGTCATTCGAAGAAGAATTTAAAATAAAAATTTAAAATTTAATTTCATTAGAAAGAATTTAATTTTCCACAAGATTAAGAAGAGACTTAGGGCAATCCAAAAGTAGTGAGGGAGGTACTTTATTTTCTTAAGGAGCGTTTCAAAAACATTTCTCTTTTAATGAACAGATAGAGCGTCTTTTGCTCTATTTTTCTATGCTAATTGATCAATATTCAACTAATATTATAATAATAAAATTTCGATAAGATCAGTTTCTTTCGCATATGTGCTGGTAGCATGAACATGAATGCTCGTGAGTATTTTTTGAATAACTTTTGATAGCAACAAGATAGAGAACTGCGGTTTTCACCGTTCGAAAGAAAAAATGAAGACGCATT